AAAAAAAGAAAAAAAAGTTAAACTGCGCGGTCAGTGTAGATAAAAGAGACATACCCTGACCAGCCAGTCGTCCCAGGTCGCCCTGAGAGATCACTCGATGAAGTCGGGTAGCGCTCACGGATGACGTGTCGAAGGGTGTAGCCGGGCTTGCCCGTCTGTCGGTACGCACGGCGTTTCCCCCGAGCCTCTTCGCATCGCCACATCGCCACGACCGAGGGCCTTGGAAATCTTCTTCTCAAGGGCCTTCTGGTCGCGGAACTTCTGAATCAGAGGCTCGTGCAGCAGATACTGGATGTCCTTGGCGTAGTAAAAGGTGGTCGAGGGGGTCGAGGACTTGGAGACCTTCTTGCGGTTGCGAGGCTCGCGCGGGTAGATGCCCTTCCAGATGCAGAGCTTTCGGAAATCGGGCAGACTGAGCTGAAGCTTCTTGACAGCCTGGGTACGGGTCACGTAGTTCTTGGCCGCGCCGGCCTGGCCCTTCTTCTTGATTCTGCCCATGATCGATGGTCGTCGGAGGCTGGATTGATTCGTGTGGGTAAGAGAGGGGGGGGGGATGCCTGGTGAAGCTGAAGCTCTCCAGTTGTCCTGGCCTTTTTTTCCCGGCCTCCTTGAGGCGGGGCGCTTCTTTTTCTTCGACCGCCCAACTTTTTTTCCAATCGAGATTTTTCTGCCGCCCGTTTGGTGCATACGCCTGCAGTGGCCTCCAGACCGCCTAGGACATCGCCCAGAAAGGCTTAGAGTATCTGTTAGGGGCGAATGATTGGTCTGATAAGAATCTCCATCAACAATGTGGGTCTCACATATTGTGCATGCACCTGGCGTTGACTTGACATCTTCACCTGGAGCATTCCGATCTCGAAAGCTCATTGAACAGAAGGCAGATATTTCTCAATCATACTGCGAACTACCATGAGTTCTAACTCAAAAAAGAAAAAATCACTCTGAAAAATCACCAACTTGGGTCATGGATCTAGAAGCTCGATGCCATCAGACTTCGCTTCTTCCTCCTTGACCTCAGTCAGCATGCCTCTCTCGGCCCTCCTCTGCGTACACCAAGCCCCAAGCTCCCCCCAAATCACCTCTTTCTCCCTCGGCCCCAGAGTCGCCGCAAGTCCGCTCGTGCTCGTCGCGACGAACACTCTGGCCCCCTCCCACGGCCCCCCTTCCTCGCCGTCCCTCACCACCCCCATGTTCTCGCCCTCTTGCCAGCCGTACTCAAACTTCCCCTTCTTCATGCCCCTGCCCTTCCTGACCCGGAAGACTGCTTCCCAGATGCCCTTGCCCACGATGCAAGCCGCCTCTGGCCTCCACTTGGCAATCTTAGCCTCCAACACCGCAACGCCAGCGTCAAGTTCCGCGTTCCGTAGCTCGGCGCCGTTGCGGCTCGGGCGGGACACAATGTTAGTGAACCCGCACGCATATCGCTCTGGCAACGTCCGGTCTTCCGAGGCCGGCAGCAGGCGCGACGTGATGCCCGAGTGATACAGAAGCTTCCAGAAGAGGTTCGAGGGGTGCGCGTAGGCATGGCCTGTCGAGGCAGTCTGGATGCCCGGGTTGAGGCCGATGAAGAGGATCAAGAGGTTGGGTGCAATGGCGTCAGGCAACGGGGGCAGATGGGCATAGGTGGAGGGAGGCGCATAACGAGGAGTGGACCGCTTCCGTTTTATGCCCTCGGAAGGCGACGCCTTTCGTTTCGTCTGCCGTGATGGAGATGGTGATGGTGATGCCCGTAGCCTGGGCTCAGGCCTCAAGTTGCCTGCCTGCCCGAGAGTGGCGGCAACACGAACGCTGCGGCGGGGTGGTGAGTCTGTGGATGACGGGACGTGGATGAAATTCTGTAGGCGGCCATGAAAGCTGGCGGGTTTGGCTTCAAGGATGTCTTCCGTGAGCTCCTCGCTCTTGATCCCTTCGTCTTCGGCACCCATGGCGGGCACGGTAAAATGTGGGATACTGACGAGGCACCCCGCGGCTGTTACCTGGCGGTGTATGGACGGGCACTTTCACACTCACTTGATGATGCCAGGAATAGAACCTCTTGCTGGAGAAAGAAGTACAAAGGGGCGGTGAAGTCAAAGTTGAAAATTCTGTTCACGGGCAACTGTTCGGGTAGCTCTTGACCAACATCTCGTGGTCCAGCCTTGTAAGAGCCATTCGCGAGGCAGGCAAGTGGCGATGCTCCAGCCTGTTACATCGTAGGTAGGATGACTAAACAAACTTTGGACCCTGGATCGTTCCCGTCTTGCCCCCAATCACGCACCCACCCCCAAGCAGGTGGACCTTCGATGAAGCCAAACCTCACCCGACTGCTAGTCAATGACATCGCAATTCGAGCTGTCGTTCATCATCTTTCCGCTGCCATCACAACTTATACAGTGCTGATCTCGGCGTTTTGATCCTGCGGCACAAGCATCGTCAACAACTGGCGGAGCATGCCACCGCTGCTACGTGACAAAGCATGCCGCTTTCCTTGAGCTGCGCCTCTCTCGTTCCCCCGTAATATTTCGATGTCTGAGCCGTGTGTCCAACCGACCGCCTGGGCGATGGCCGCAGCATGAATTGCTAGGCAAGCTCAGAGTCGCAGAATGATCAAGGTGCACGCGTGCGGCACCGAAGAGCAATGTCTGCTCCGCCACCGCTACAACACCACTGTGACGACCTTGGCCATCAGATGGCACGAGCCGAACAGCTCATCCCGGCCCACAACACGACCAATACTGTCTGTTGGTCCCTGGACTTGGGGTCGAGATAACCTATTGCCGGGGTCGACATACTCTATGGAGTCACGGACTTGAGAAGCCAAGAGTTTATGAGCGTGCTCCGCCACAATCCCAAGTTCGAGGGCAGGCTACTTGACCAATGATACCCCTGCTGGCTCACCAACCCCGCCCCTCAGTTCTGAAAGATCGAGACAAACAGACAGCTCGAGACGCGAGGCCTCACAGCCAAGAGCCACGGCAGTGGTCATATATCTAGTGACGAGTGAGTCCCCTAGTATACTGGGGGAACACGACCACCTTGTCACAGCATCGACACTCTACGGTACCAAAAGCACTCGTCACAACACATTGCACAAGCCCATTGTATCCATCGAATGGACAACTCAAGCAACTCCCGACAAGTTCAGCCAGGCGGCCCTGACGCGGCTCTGCCCACCTATCACGAGCTCTCCAAACTTGAAGCTCAACCGCCGCAGCAGGCGGCTCCTTTCGCATCCACGTCTCAACCCGCAGGAGGGAGCCCGAATCCGGACACCATCGAGGCTCCTGGCCCTGCACACCTCCCGGGGTACGGCGAGGCTTCACAGTCGAAACCACCACAGTACGAAAGATACAAGAACGAGCCGCCGCCAGGATTCTCTGGCCGTGAGAACCAAAGGTGGCAGTACGCCCACTGGATCGTCGTCATGACTGTTTTCTTGGGCATCGGTCTTGGTGTTGGTATCTACTATGGCGTCGCCTCGTCCTGATGAGGAGACTAGAATATCACATGCGTGAGGCCAGATTGGACGCTGAGAGTGGTCGATCAGGGTTTGAAGGAATTGCGATGTCATGGAACGGGGTTTGCGATGTATTACGGGTCGGTGCAAATAGCGATGAATGATACCCTGGAGCTTTGGTTATATCTTTTACCATGCGGGAAATGGTCCCCCGTAGTGCCTAACTGTGTCCATTGCAAGAGGCCTCTCGCGTGACCTGGTCAATACTATCCCACGGCAAGGAGCGTGCCCTGGCGTGCCAACTGTCGTAGAGATGGGGAGGCTCAGGCGGTGTAAGTCAAGTACCTTACTTCGATACCGGTGTGTAGAGGAAGATCGAGACCAACTGACAAGGACATTCCGCAATCATCACCCATATCTTGATCGTAGCATTCCTATCCCAAGTGCCTTGATGACGATTACTTCAAGCATTGGCAGACACCCGCCTTTCTGAATCCCTTCAGTCATCTTGTTCCTTGATACCCTGCCAATTCGGTCCGACGACCTCTACCGCACCTCGCTCTCAGACTAAACATGCCGCCCCACTCGCCCTTCCGCCAAAGCCTCCACCCTCATCCACACTCTTGGTGCACTCACAACACCACGATGCCCCGCTCACGATTCTGAAGACCCTGCGTTATCCACAACCCCCATCCTCGCGCACGCATCTCGCTTCCGCAACGGTAACCGCCCGAGCCCGTCATCATGCTCCCGCTGCTTCGATTATGTCATCAAACAAGGTCAGGTGGCCGAGTGGTCTAAGGCGCTAGCTTCAGGTGCTAGTCTATTTCATAGGCAAGGGTTCGAATCCCTTCCTGATCATTTTTGCTGGTGCACGCTCTGTGGTGCCGATACGGACTTTTTTCTTTCTCGTTTTTGCTTGGTGACAGGCGCGAGTGATGTTGGCATGTTCTCATTTTTCATTTTTCTCGTCTGTGGGATGTAAACGGACCACGTTGCAGCGATGACATCTGGGGAAGGCTGTTCTGTTATCACGAGGTCACAATGATGCTTTGGGCGCCAGCTGAGCACCTCACACTCTTTTTTGAATTACGTGAAGGGCTCTTCTTCCAAGCAGTCGGATGAGCATTGTAGTATCGGTAATCCAATACCAGCTTCAAAGGTTCACCTTGCCGGGGCGAGCGACATCACCGACGTTTCTATGGGAGATATCAGCGTAACTGATCAGTCGAGTGTGCTTTGGTGGCAACAGTGATATGTATCTGAACTTCACTGGATAAAAGCTGTCGTCATTACATACCCGGATAGGCCAATACGACCGGGCACCCTGAGATTCCCGTCCTGTGTCATCTCAGCGATGTCGGTGTGTCCGATCGTTGCCTGTCGGGATGAGTTAACGGCCCTAGCTTTGGAACGAATTCTATATCTCAACACGCGACCTCTGTTGCGAAGAAGGTGACCATGAGAAACTCAACTTTTGGCGAGGCGCAGAGGATATTGAGTTTCAGCCACAGTACTGCATACATCGTAAAGCAACTGCTCCCGTGTCAAACCTTTGAGGCCCCCACACAAAGTCAACGAGACTCAACCTTAATTCACTGCAAAGCAAGCACGTTTTACACTTTCAGGAATCGCCTCGGGGGTATAATACGCCCATGGATTGATTTTGGGAACCACGAAGCTTAGGCGACGAACATGCTCGCCGCCCGAGTCCCCATGGGCGGGCACGAGAGACGTGGCACGTCCATCCTCTGGACGCGCCAGCCCGCCATCATGCCAGTCAAACACACAATGTAAACCCAAATTTCACATTAAGATTACTGATCGAAACGTTGATAGCCCGGATAGCCCGACGAGAGTCGTCTACCCGGGAGGTCCGGCACCGCTGGAACACCGGGCCAGCGTCGCCGGGCTGCTCGTGGACTTGCCCATCTACTCATCATTATCTACATAGTACCCATATTCTTGTTCTGTGGTAGAGCCGCATTACCGCCGTCCGAACTCATCTGGTGCTATTCTTATGTAGTACTGTGGTCCTGAATGTGCGTCTTCCCATTTCACCGGTGACAGACCTGAGCCGGATGCAACCTACTCGCAAACTATGCCTACACGGTCCATCCTTAGCGAACAAACTACCGACAAGTCTAAAGCAAGAACGATTCGGCCGCGAGGGGGCGTGTCGCAATCATGATGGATAATGCTAAGCACTGCTCAAATGGGCCCTGGCGCATGCTCAAGAGGACTTCGGAGCGCAATGACATCATCGGCACACTTGGTAGTCTCACGGCCATACACCCTAGCGGAGGAGAGCAGTCGAACCAAGTGGATATCTCATATTTACTCCGTAGCCCATGTCGGAAACCTCGCGCGACAGGAAAAAAAAATGTCCCGACATCTATACCAGTAGTTTTTGCCCTAGTAATACACAACACGCGCCTCTCCGGTACGTCCGGACAGCAAACCAGGAAATAGCTACAATAAAAAATCATACGTCATACGCCGCATCACCCCCACGTTATGCCTCCGTTTGGGTTTTCTTACGAAGACTGCCAAAGCGTCGCTTGAAGCCTTCACTGAAGCGCTTGCCGGCCGAATTGCTGCGGCCAATATCTGTGCTTTTGGAAAAGCCGACGGCCGGGGGTGAGTTGGAGGGACGGAGGGTACCGGCAGGTCCGGGCCTCCCATCGGCGGCATTGCTGACACTGCGCTGGCGAACCATACCAGGGCCGTTCTTACGGTGCTCCCGGCTGATGCCCGATCGCATCTCGTACTCGGCAGGACCGGCATTCATGGAATGGCGGAGACGCTTCTTCTCTTTGAGATCCTTCTCATACGTGTACGATGGCTCACCCTTGCCCTTGAGGTCGTCGGGGTGATATTTCTATAGATTGTGAGCGAAGGTCGGATGATTGGCGTCGAACGATACTCACAATGCCATCCCACCTCTTGTACGCGCCGCCAGCAGCGTCGGCCTCCCGCATCAGATCGGCGCCTTCCTCATAGTTCATGACTTTACCGGAAAGATCGGTGTAACCGGCGGGAATCGTGGCAGTGCCCTGGAGAGGCACATGCCTCTCTAGAGAATCAATGACATACTCCCGGCGTAGCCCTAAGCGCCTCCATGTTGGAATCTTGACGGCGTCGAGAGGCGAATACATTTTATTGCGGTTTCGCGAGGCGAGCGTGGCGTCATAGGGACCCCCGTGGTGGTAAATTCCGCCCATGGTATCCAGGCCGTCAATGATGTCCGTGTTGGGTCCATGGCGGCGGGTGCGCAGGTGCGGAGAACGGTCAGCAGCGCGCTGCTCGCGCTTGATAACGTCTAGCGGGCGGTGAGACATGTCGCCGGGATATCTCTGCGATATGGATTGGGGGCGGTGGAATCCTGTAACCGGGGTGCTGATGCTCCTCGTGTGCTTCTCGGGGCGTGGTGGGTGACTTCTCGAACCCGTGTGGTTGCGGGTACTGGTGCTGCGAGAGACACTGGTGTTGCTGGGAGGCTGGAAGCTCACGCGTATAGGACTTGCCGACGTGGGCGGTGTTGGCAGAGGGGTCTCGTTCTTTTTTGCAGTGGTGTCCTTGTTCCTCCTGGAAAAGGTTCGTAGAAGAGGGTCGGGATTCACAAATGTGCTGCCTGGACCGTCTTCTTGGCTGGGTTCTGGTGCTGTCAGGGGATCGAGGAGATACTGGTTGGCCTGATAATGATGTGGTTAACGATGGGAAGCTTGCGCGTGTGTGAAGTGTGGGACGGAATTGATCAGATGCAAGAGGAATGGCGGATAAAATGTATTTGAGGCTTGCGCGTCGTCACGCAACAAGATCAGGCCAGGCCCGTATTTACGTCGGCCAACGGGTTTGGGGCATTGGAGATGATGGTCCAAACCTGGGCTAAGGTAAGGGTCTGGGTGAACAGTGGCGCACCGCTGCCAACCTCACTGACGGAGAAGCGCCGGGCTGGTGGGGCCGGGGCTGATGGAGGGACGGTGCCCTCCCCTCGGGAGTCAGGGAATCGGGGAGTTGGGGCGGTCGCGGGCCCTTCCACAAGGCAGCCAGATAAACAAAATCTGCCAGGGACCAGCATCTGCGGTCAGGCCCCCAAAAGCTTGACCCCTGGTGCTTGTTCTGTTCTGGACCTCGGGCTGCGGGTCCCAAGGGCGCACGCGCGCGCAGAGAGTGAGGGGGGAAAGGGTGAGCAATTGGGGGAACCATGCCACCCACGCCTGACGGGAGGTGTGCTTGCTAGGATGCCAGCACCCCAAGGCAGGTCATTGGGAGCGAGTAGTATGACGTGCCGTGCAGACGTTTCGCGCAAAAGCACAAGAGAGAGAGGGAGGTGAGGGGGAGAGGACATGTGTCGCTGAGGTGCGAGGATCTGGGTGCGCGGATGAGGGGTGCCGGGGAAGAAGAGGGCAACGATGGGGAAGGCATAGAGCTCACCCAAGCATTTTCAGACGATTTGCTGCTCATCTTTGACCTCGCCATGGCGGCTTAATCGTGACTGTCGAGGTGTCGTCAAAAGCCAAGTCGATGAAGAAGAAGAAGAAGAAGTCGGTCGTTTCCACGGCACGAGTGATGGTATCGGCAGTCGCAAGGCGTGCCAATCGCTATCCAGGTTGCTTCAAGTTGTGAGACGCGAGTAAATGGTCGCCAGTATCAGCTCCAGTGAAGACGTCAAGACAGTGATCGGCTGCGAGGAACGGTCAACGGTGGACGTGGAAAGTGGAAGAGTAGGGCCTGGTCAAGCGGATGCGGCAGACACAGGAGCTTTAAGCATCACATTCTCATGGCATGGCACTTGCTCTTCTCGGCTGTCACGCTTTTTTTTTTGTTTCCTTCGATTGACCCAGAGGCCAACGTGACCCATGGGGCCCCTGCCGACCGACCTAGCTGCCATACCTTAGTACGCGGCTCGAAGAGACCCCTCTCCGCTAACGGGCTTTGAATGCACCTGATCACCCCTCCCCCCCCCTCCCCGTTCTCGCCCTTAGGCCTGTTGCCATTGGTTTGCGTTTGGGCATGTCATGTGTGGCAGCGGCGGGTCAAGCGGATGAGGACTTGCGTTCTTGCCTCTGGGGATGGGTGGTCTCGGTCCTGCAGCAAGCTGCGAGGGGCGCAAAGCAGGGGGAGTCGTGGTCTTGGACTTTAGAGGGAAGGTGCAGTAGGCGTAGTGGGCTGTGGCTGCCAACAGACCCAGCACCGAGACCCTTCCGGGGAGTGCCTTCCCCTCGTCTGCCGCCCCACCGAGTCGCTGTCTGACTCCTTTGACTCTGATGGTGGGCGGTGTCGACCGTCTTGGTCTTGCCAGTGAAAGGCATCAGACACCAGACGCCAGACATCAGACTTGGGACCTACAAGGCCTGCTTTCCATCTGCCGCACCAAGCTCGACCTCAACCTTCCGTCTTGCCGGAGGCATTTAGACGAAAAACAAAAGCAAGATGGAGAACCCAATTGGACCACGACACCTCTTTCAACAGGGGAACACCATGTGCATCGCCCCAGGAAAAAAAAAAAAGGGACAACAAAATCATAGCATGAACTCGCATCACCGACTTAGATGCCCAGAACATCGGCGACGAGGACTCCGCCTCCTGTCATCCTCCACCTCTGATGGTCCCCTCCACATCGTCCATCACACCGCAGCGCGCCCCCCCCCCGGCTTCCACGGGCCTGGAAGCCTTTCCATTTCCCAAGCGTGCTCATGCTCATGCGCCTGCCTGCACCTCCACTATACCCAACTCTTCCCCGAGATGCTTTGGTTCTTCAATGGACCATTCCATCACACCCGTCACCCTGACCCTCCAACATAGAGCATGGAGAGAAAGGCTGCTTACTGGAGAACGCTGGCCACAGGTTTGCCAGTGGCCAGTGGCCTAATGCCAAGATATAAGCTTCACAATGCAGTTGCATCCAGGCGAGATACTCTGATGAGCGCAAGCCCGCGTCTCACTCAAGCATTTGGTTCTTTCAGCCTCTGATCCATCCGGGCCAACTCGCTCGGCGTGTCTCGCTTGACCTCGTTCGAACCGTCCCAGCCACTTGGCCTTCTTTCTGCGCAAAGCTATGGCCACCACGCCACAATCCATGCATCGCGAAGGATCATCGGCGAGCTTGTCCAACATCAATGTGGACGGGCCAACGCCAGGCGTTACAGTTCTGTGAATAGATAGAATACAAACAGCACCGCACTCGAGACTGAGTGGCCATCGTCACGAAGCCTATTCTTGATTGCGCGCTGTCATTGCTGAGCTCTATCTAGCCTATGACCTCGAACAGCTAGGTGCCTCCGCACATGGTAGGCGCCTCCATGTGCGCCCCATCGAGATCGATGAACGCGTTTTCGATTCCACCAACTTGCGGGCCTAGGTCACCCTCGATCGCACACTCATCGTGATTCTGTCGCCAATGGCCAACCACGCGCGCGCACTGCCATCTGAGCTACATCAATCATTTGGTGTGCCTCTTGTCATCATTTCTTCCGGCTAGGTTTCCTCTTCAGCTGAAGCAGCATCCACGGTCCGTGACAAACGCCTTCTAGGGCTGTCAGACGGAACGAACCTCTGTCGAGAACCTGAGCAATGACCAGCAGCGTCTCTGTCTCTCCCCACTAGCCAACCGTTGCTGAACCTTCCGGCGAGTCGTTCCCTCAGCCCCGGAGTTCACTCCGTCTCGGTCGTATTCGCTCCATCGTGTCTCGTCGACCTCGTTGGCCCGGCGCAGGTCCGAACCGACTACCCCGAACTGATGGCACTCGTTGACTACTCCTCCGACTCGAGCGTCGTCACAGCCGATTCTGAGATCGCCCCTCCTCCGGCCAAGAAACAGAGATCCGGTGGCGGGCCCGATGGCAAAGTGGGCGAAGCATCCCATCCGACTGCCTCAGATCTGCCACCTCTTCCCGAATCATTTCACGATCTCTATGCCTCCAGTGTGCGCCAGAGTGTCTCGGATGACCCCAGCCTGCACAACGGCCGAAAGCGATTGACACCGCATATCGCGGGCAATTGGCCCTCCCACGTTTATATTGAGTGTAAAAGCCCTCCGTTTTCTTCCTGATCAGACCCTTAGTCCTAATTGCGTGCAGGGCATCCTACTATAGAGCAACATGCACTCTTGGTTGAGTTTCTTGACGCTGCCCAAAAGCAGCTCGGCACCACTCACAGGCTGCATTCTTTCCTGACCTCGGATCTGAACGCCCCCTTGCCACTTCACATCTCGCTCTCGAAATCCCTGTCACTGACCACCGCCAACAAGGATGGCTTCCTAGACGCGCTCACCTCGTCCCTGCGTACCACCTCGGCCGCTGTCAAAGGACCCTTTGCGGTCTCTCCCAGCGGTCTCGCCTTCTACAAGTCTCCTGACTCGGACCGCGCCTTCCTTGTTCTTCGTGTGGCCGACCCCAAGGCCAAGCCTCCCATTCCCGGTACGAGCGCCAACCCCCAGCTGCGCGAGCTTCTCCGTCGATGCAACATCGTGGCCTCTTCCCGCGGGCTACCCACGCTGTACGCGTCCAGAGACCAAGTCGAAGCCGCCAGTGAGGGGAAAGCTGACGCCGAGACGGACGCCCTTGTCGACCATGCCTTCCATGTGAGCATCGCCTGGACGTTCGCCCTACCCGATGAGGAGATGTGTATACGGACGTATCGCATCTTCCGCGCGCCCTCGTTCAAGAAGCTTCGGAACTGGGAGGTGCGCGTTTCGGGCGTCAAGGTGAAGATTGGCAACGTCGTGACGCATCTTCTTCTTGGCAATGGCAAGGTAGCCGGAGGTGGTCGTGGCAGCAGGGAGAGCAGTCGCAGCGCGAGGAGTCCGACGGGAGACGATTCTCCATATTGAAAGACTGAGGCGACAATTATGCGGGGGCGTATAGAGGACACGAGCGCAGCGGTAGCGAGAACGAGCATTCTAGACACATCAGGTCGGGCACATGGCATGGTGGAATGATGTTAAAAAAAATACCGAGGTGTCCAGTGGTAGGTTCATGATATATACGCCACTCTTGAACACGCAACTCTCCGATCTACCCAGACCTGAATGAAATGCTTCCAATTCCAAAACGCCGGCGTCCTTTTCAGACCCAAATGCTTTCATGTCGGTCTACTCCTACAGCTCATCCAAGTTGGGCCGCTCAAATTTCCATGTCCGCGGCGAGACGGGCAGGCCGAGGAAGAACTGACCGAAACGCTTCGTCTCGTTGCTGAGTATGTGCCAACTGGTTTGGTGTTAGTCAATTTCGTCACCTCCGACAAGCTGGAGACCATCACTTACAGTGTTCCGGGGAAAGAAGCCCACTGCACCAGGACCAACTTGGTCACCCGCATGACGAGCCTGAGCTCGTCGTCCAAGCTCTGGCTTACGGTGGCATTCTTATCCGACTTCATACCGCACTGGCTGCCTTTTTTCTTGGCGGGTGCTTCATCCTCGTCGTCGTCGTCCCCCCCACCCTCCTCCTCCTCCCCGTCATCTTCTTCCTCCTCCTCCTCCTCCTCGTAATCGTCATCCTCCAGGCCGTCCTCGTCGACATCAGATTCTTTGGCTTGTGCTCCAGCTCCCACTGGAGGCTCAACGTCCTCCTGAGAGAGAGACGAGACGCTCTCCAGCGCCTGCTGTTCCTCTACCATGCCCCTGAACTTGCCGATGGCGCGCAAAGAGCTGCTGATCCGCGCGTACGTGTTGAACAGCGCCACGATCTCGGTCCGCTTCAGCTGGGGGAGATCTTCGCTGGCGTTGTCGAACTCAAAGAGGACTTTGAGCGCCGTGCCGTAGCCCGCTGTCTGCAACTTGCCCCACAGGCGACACTTGTCACAGCCGACGCAGTCCATGACGCGGCTGACGTTGCGGAAGCGGTTGCGGAAGTCCTCCTTGAGCGATGGACCCTCGCCGTTCTTAAACATGAGGCTCTCATCGAAAATCTGGGGGACTGAAGCGGGCACCCTGCGTCACGGCCAGCACCTTGGCCCGCGTCGCATCATCTTCCGAAGGGTCGCCGGGTACAAAATGTATATCGTTCTTGACCGGCTTCGCCCTGGATAAAAGGTCCCAGCTTGGCAACAGCGCGAGTCACGAGCGCGTAGTTGAAGTACAGGTTGCTAATGCGGTCGGGGTGCTCGTGAAGTCGTGTCTTGTAGCAGGCGAGATTGGGCTGCCACTGGCCGGTGGTCTGGTTGAGGAAGTCCCAGCACAGGTGAGTGCTGATGCTTGCGTGCATACCCGAGATGACGCGGTAGAAGACACGCTTCTCGAGACACTCGTCTTGGGCTTCGAAGCCCGTCTGAGCCACAAATGGGGCGTTGGGATGCGTCTCGCGGATCTGCTCCAGAGCTTGCTGGCGTCCAGCGGCCTCCAGTATCTGTTTTAGGTCCTCGGCTGCGGGGCCAACCTTGTTAAGCACAGAGCTCTGTTGCGATACGCCAAGGGCGGCAGAGTTGGGGAACGAAGATCTCGAGAAACAGTTCTCCCGATAAATGGCATCCCAGACCTGCGCAGCACCGACGCCTGCGTAGCCAGTGAAGCGTTCAGGGTTTCGAAGGAGACTGACGTAGTCGCCCTTCGAAGAGGCGCTTTCGTCTTCGGGAACGCAGTAGTCGCGCTCATCGCATTCATCGTCGTACTCGAACACGCAGCTCTCTCCCACATTGGTGCCGAGGCCGTGTTGAAGGGGACGGTCGGTATTCTTCTTCGCCTTGGGGCCGGGATGTTTCGCCACTGGTCCCTCCAACTTGCCAAGTTCTGCTGAGCGCCAGACCTCTGGTATGTCCGCCTCGTCGTCCAGCGTCTCTACGGCGCAGGCAATGTTGCCGCACATACCATTTTCATCGTTCCAGAAGGGACACCTTTTGTTGAAGAGGTTGAGACGGTAGTGTGAGAAGAAGTCGGTCGTGGTGGTAAGGTCGTCGAGTAGAGGTTTGACAGCAAAGTTCAGCTTGTCGAGGGTAGAGTAGGAGGCGCAGGCGTCCGAGACGATGGCTTTGGGAGTTATCTGGTAGCAGGCGTGATTAGAAACGAAGACAAGATCTGGCACGCGCAGTGGCAGTACGGCGGGGGCTGCCATGGGGGTGGCAAGGAGCGTTGCGTACCGCGCAATCATCCTTCGAAACGTCGCATTGTGCAGGCGCTGCCAGGAGGGAGAAGACGGATAGATAGAAGAGCCTGCTGGCGGTTTTCATGGTGGGTTTATTGATACCCTCTGAGGGAGCAGTCGGCCGGCAAAAGAGAGTGCAATCAACAGACTGCTCGTTTGGGGTCTCAGTGAGAGAAAGCTTGTCGCGGTGGAGGGGTGCAGCGGCAGAGGCTGTCAGTGGGTTGTGTCGGATCGTGGCTGTTACGTCAAAGGGTAATGACGGCGAGGCGGATCTGGGGTTGGTGGAAAGGCTATGAAGGTTAAGGTTCGTTGAGCAGAACAGTCGAGAAATGAGCAGGAGGTCGAGGACCAAGGACAAAGAAGGGCCGCAAGGGATAAATTATGTACAGTTCAAGAAGAGGTCAATAGAAGAAGAGGACAGCAGAGTATGTGCAGGTGGCCCGAGACCGCGATTCGATTGTGGATGTCAATGGAATAAGTGGAGGGAGGGGTCTGGAATCCCGGACGAGTTGGAATGCGTGTGATGTGCGATGTGGCCTCAAACCACGGTTCGGTGGTTCGATGCGTCGCGATGAACGGGAAGCCAATGCACCATCAAAGTCCTTTTCTTTTTCTTTCTGTTTGTGCCTCGCAGAAACTCTAACAGAGGGGGATCAGATTGGGCGGAAGGATTGATCATCCAAATGGGCATGACGTTGGTCGCCCCTGCCTATGTACTTTAGGAGCGGGATAGGCGGCGATTCGGGCAAGTGCAATGTGTCCTCCAACAGAGTGGAAGGTCCGAAACCCTCCACGGCGACGGGGCGCCGGCAGCAGTTCGAGGCAAGTGCCACCGAAATAGGGAGCCACAGTCAGCAACAGAACATCAGGAGATACAGGGCGCATCGGCCGCTAAAATCTGGCGGTCGGCGCCGCCATCGTCCCATCGCGTGCTTGTCAGTCGAGCCACTCGCGCTGACTGGCCCGTATCCGTTTTGGGGGCGCGGGACGCATCTTCCACCAGGTAGGTATCTCGCCTGGCTTCTTGTCGTGGTCTAATAAAGCGTGCAGCCCAACAAGACAAGCCTTGGCTTGGCTCGGAGGGTTCCCAGATCCGGCTGTCCCTGCATCAGTCAAAACAGGACACTTTGCACCGAACACTTTAGGTGAGTGCTGCGGCTTGTGCTTTGTCTTTGCTGGACCATATTTATGTCGGTACATCGCACTGGTCGGAAGCGTGTCTCCTGGGACCTGGAATGTCTTGGTAGCGCTGTTCAGTAATCCGCCGGTTCCCCGGAGCTGCATCTGTCATACGCGCAATTGCAACATCTACCCATCTCAGAACCAGCCATGGGCCTTTCGGCTCCATTGCGGAGGGCACGTGTCCAAAAATCTTACGCCTCACCGTCAATTCACTTGTGCCACACGTAACTATCATGGCGGTATATAGACTACCCGAACGCCTTCATATCTACAAACCCTTTGCCTGCCATGTATGCGTCAGTCATTCAGGTGAGACAGGGTCTTGGCGTCGCCTCGAGTAGAGCCTTCTCCTACAGCATAGCCGCTTCAGAGTACTTCTGCCCGGGTCAAGCAAGGATTCCCAGACCGCAATCTCAGAAATTTGTACGACTCCGCCCAAAAAAAAAAAGATGCAATGCAGTTCTTCTCTCGTCAGAGCGAATTTGCCACCGCCGCCGCCGCCTTTGCTTCGAATCCGAGTGAGTCAGTCGGACGGCGGGTGGACATTGTCCACCCCCCACGCCTTTTTCTCGCCGATTCTAAAAAAGCAAGCCGTGGCGAGCAGAAAAGCAATCGTTGGGGTCGCATTTCGTCAAGGAGGGGGTTCGTCTCATTCCGTTCCGTTCCGCTCCGGTCCCATGTATAATCATCACAGCGTGGCCCATAAGGTTCGAGTAGTTGGAGTTTGGTTGGCGTTGGTTTTCTCTCAGGGGTTTTTTTTAAATCATTCTGTCGGTGAAGGGTTTGGGTTGGGGATGAGCAGGGACCTAGACAGGCTCGAATCACTGCGGGGGTTGGTAGTTGAGAGGGCGCTTGAACAGCAGAATATGCGGCTCCGGCTCGTGGACCTCATAATGCTCCCAGCCCAGACTCTAAAGCATCCGTCAGCGATGCGTCCTCCCGTTGCGGCCCAGGGAGGGGGGAAGCCTCGGCCCCCATCCCGGAAGGGGGACCACCAGTGTACGAACCTGCGTGATGCCAAGCGCGCGCCACTCCTCCTCCCAAAGAAGCTTCAGCGTGCCATTTTGAGAGTCGTGATATGCCTTGGGAATGGCCTTAAGCATGGCTTTGGGCAGCTGGACGTGGCGGTACTCATACTCGCTGTCAGAGTATCTTCGAAGATGTCGTGTCAGTAGTGAGCGGCGGCGGCGGCAGCCACAGAGGAACCAACGTACCGTGCCGAGTAGTGGATGGAATCAATGTATTCTTCCAAGACGGCCCGCTCGTCGTCCGAGAGAGTCCTCGGGTGGGTGTTGCGGCGGCTCATGTCGATATCCATGACGACGGGATGCGGGGTGTGGCAGGTTGGTATGAGTGTTGCGAAATGGCGAGGGCGGGGCAACTCAGGCGCAGCGAAATACGATGGCAGCACAGGCGTGCGGTATCAACAGGTGGTCTCCCAGCGTTGGAGTGTGTATCTGAGTTTGTTTTGGGCAGAATAGGAGGCCAGTCGAGTCGCAAGTCGCGAGGTCAGGCGACGGAGTCGGTAAACAGACTGCTTCTGCGGGCGGGGTAGGGTGGGCAGGTGCAAATGTCGGTTGAAACGCGTGAGCAGTGCCGAAACTAAGGCGACGCTGAGCGGCAGAGGGCGTGAGGAAGCAGCAAAACGATGCAGAGCTAAGCCAAAGCAGGGCGGAGGGGTCGCGAGAGGAATGCGAATGTGCAAACGGGTGTTGTGGTGTTTCCAGTTCAGAGCGCCCGGTCTTCAGAGAAAGTGTAAACAAAACTCCAATGGGGAGCCAGAGCCAAAAAGATCGTCGCCGTCTTTCGACATCCACTGCTGTGCTCGGTCCAGCGAGCAACGTACAGGGGTCTGGGGGCCTGGTGTGGAGGGGAGAGCACATGGCTTGTACCAATGGATAGGCAGAGCCGGAGGGATACATTCTGGCGGCATCTTCCGAAACCAGGCCGACGCCGGTGGCCAGCTCCCCTCGATTATGCCGGGCGGTGAGACTGGCCTTTCACAGTCACGTGTGCACATGCATTCTCACACGCAGACCACCCTCCAGCCTCCAAGGAACGGCAGCAGGGAGACCCACCCGCTCCTGCTCTCATCCTGTCCCTGCCTGCACCTACCTACCAGATCGATCCAATGCGCTAGCGCTCCGAGCTCGACTGACTGTCGCGCTACTACCTCTAACCTCTGTCTTTCCTGCCCCAAGTGCCAGCTCCTGCCCGTCACTCTCAGCGCACGCATCCCCAGCCAAACGCGTCGGCGACAGCTACCTCAAAGCACTTCAATTCCCACGAAGCCCACTGTAGCCGCAAAGCACCACGCAGGGGACTAAGCCTGCTGCATGCGCGTGAATTCGCCGATAGTCTGCGCCGACTCCCGCCAGCACTGCGCATAGCATCGCCATGGACAACAAGCGCAAGGCCGGCTCTGCGAATGCGGTCTCCGCTGCAGCTGAGCAGGACGAGCGCAACAAGAAGAAACAACGGCTTGCAGAGGTGAGTGCCGCCATATCTTGGATGGGCACAATGCGCACCTTTACACAATGACGCGCTTGGCTTTCAAGCGTGCATCACCTATCATCTCCTCTCGCCATTGTGTCTTTCCATTTTCCCCATGCCTCCATTGACGACGAGAGCTGGTGCAACCTTGTTGATGATGATAGCGGGAAATGCACGTTCATTTGCTGATCATGTGCTACAGAAATACAACTTTAAGGAGCAGCCAGAAACACGCGAGTCAACTTCTGAACATGGTCTCTTCTTCCTGGAGTTGGTCCGTCGAACCTCTGACAAGAAGTATGTATATCATTTATATGATTATGCTGAGAATGGAGATGAACTGACTCCCTCGTAGTGGACGTCGCGTCGCAGGATACTTCGAAACACTTCCGCCCCGTGCCGAGAATCGCGATTACTACAAGAAGACGAAGATGCCCATCTCGCTCGAGATGATTGAGCAAAAGTTGAACAACCATGAGTTTGCGACCCTTACGGAGGTGGAGAGCTACTTCAAGCGCATGGTCAGCAACGCCAAGGAGTACTATTCCCGCAACTCAAGCACTTTCGAGGATGCCGAACGTGTGCGAAAGGCTCTTAGCAATCACATGACGAAGGTCAACCCCGCCTATCACCGTGGCGACGGGTACACAGCATTTCCCACGCCTATTCCCTCCGAGCTTCAGAACGCCGAGGAGGAGGCCCCCGAGACCCCTGAAGAGTCGGCTGACGAGGAGGGGGAGGAGGAGGAGGAGGAGGAAGAAGATGATGCTGCCGCAGATGATGACGAGGATGACGATGACAGAGATGCCGATGTCGAAGATGACGGAAAACCTCAGCGGTCGGGTCGACCCTCGATCATCTTGCGTCGTGGTTCAGCTCGCAAGTCAGCTGCAAGCAGCACCCCCAACGCTACTGCTACGCCTCGATCTGCCAATCGCAAAGGCGACGATGTTTACGCTGATATTCCTTACAAAGAGTGCTCCTTCCAGGAAGCACAGGAGAAGATTGTTGAAGAGTTGATTCGCAAGACAGAAGACGAGTAAGTCCCGAATGTCCACACATGGATAATATTTCAACACTACTGATCATGATACGGCAGCTCCGATGAACCCCAGTTCGAAATATTCCTCAACTTGCCCTCGCGGTCGCTCAAGGACTATTATGCACATGTTTCCAACCCACTCTCTATCAAGAAGCTCCAGAAACGCGTCAAGGGCGTTCAAGG